CCCTAGCCACCTCGTCAGCTGCCGACACAACACCAGGCGCGGGCCGCGGCGCCGCCGTCCCTGCCGCGAGCGCGTCGGCCGCCGCAGCGGCAGGCGAGGCTGCGCTGCCGCCGCGGCCGCCTGCTGCTGGCGAGCCGTCCAGCAGGGACAGGTGCAGGGCTGAGCGGATGGTACTGCCTCGGCCGCCGCCGCGGCCGCCAGACCCTGCTGAGCCTGCTGAGCCTCCAGACCCCGGCTCAGCAAACTGGGTGTAGCTGCCAAAGCCGTCCCTGCGCTCGCTGTCGCTGTCGCTGGCCGCGGGGCCGGTGAGGACGAGCCACGAGGGCGGCACGTGGCGGGACGGCGCGCGCTGGCTGCGCGGGACGGGATCCAGCGGTACCAGCAGCGGGCACTCCCATACCACCCCGGTATCTGTGTTTGACGCCTCGCACAGCGTCCCCTCCAGCTCCCACCCTGCACCCAGCCGGGGCGAGGCAAATGGGCGCAGGTAAGGGAGCATGCGGGAAAGCAGTGCAACAGGGAGACCGGCCCCACGGCAAGACAAAGGGAAAGGAGCAGATGCCATGCAGCGGCCACACACAGCGGCGGGCACTCCCGATGGCAGTACGCCGCGGCGGTACACAACGCGGCACGGCACGGCATGGCACGCCGCGGGCTGGGTGTTGAAGCTGAAAGTTCAGCTGTAGCATTCAACGCTGGGCGCAGCGACGCACCCCCCAGCAGACTGCGAGACTTGTAGACCAGAGCGGTGCCGCCCTGTCCCTTGAGCCCGCTGCCGATGAGCATGCGGATGTCTCGAGAGTAACCATTAGCCTCAAACCCGGCCTCCTCGGCTGCAGGGGCAGGGCAGGGTGCGAGGGAATGCTCATGTGAGCTGGGATGCGTGCGTGGCCGCATCGCATGCGCAATGCTGTGCTTTGGCAGGAGGATTGGTGGGTGGGCGAGGGGCGGCAAGTGGGCGAGGCAGGGCAAGCTGCTGGGAGTGCAGGTACCGCCCAGCAGCTTTGGTTCAGAAGAAAGGTTCTCTGCGCAGCCGCCAGCTGGGCAGCCAGGCCTCCAGTGCTGGCAGGCTACGCTGCAGGCGGCGGCGGCAGCAGCGCCGGCGGGCAGGCGGCGGCTCACTGGGTGCAGCTGCCGTGTTGGTGGTGAAAATGAAGGGGTCGCGCCAGCCCGTCAGCTGCATGTCGCCAGGGGGCAGGTGCAGGAAGGGCGACTCGATCTTGCGCCACCGAACCAGCAGCTCGTCGCCTGCAGGAAGGGTGGATGGGTGGGGGGGAGGGAGGGAGCGATGGTGGAGGTGTGTGGGTGTTGCGCGGTGGGGTGGGGGGCAGGCCGGGGAGCAGGCCCATCTTGGGTGAGCCTGCAGCCCTTGCGCAGCTACCGAGCCACCCGCCTAGCCCCCTCCACCAAGGGCCCCACCAGGCCTAATCTCGCCACCACCTCGCGGCCGCAGCGCCAGCCAGCACACCACTCACCCGGGTCTTCTGGCACCGCCGCCAGCTGACTCTCCACCCACACCATGCCAAGGTCGTGCTCCGGCGGCGGCAGCGGCCCCGCCTCCAGGTTGCTGCGCAGGCGCACCCCCGTGTACAGCAGCANGGGGGTGC